GTAACACGATGTTACATATTTACGGAGTGAATCGGAGTCACTAAACTGGACAATCCTGATGTCTGAGTAAACTATGTCACGAAGAGGGAACTTTCTGTCACACGACAGAACATATTTACGAAGTGACTCGGAGTCACTGAGCCGGACAAACCCGATGTCTGAGTAAACCGTGTAAGGAAGAGTGAACTTTCTGTAACACGATGTTACATATTTACGGAGTGAATCGGAGTCACTAAACTGGACAATCCTGATGTCTGAGTAAACTATGTAACGAAGAGGGAACTTTCTGTCACACGACAGAACATATTTACGAAGTGACTCGGAGTCACTGAGCCGGACAAACCCGATGTCTCAGTAAACCGTGTAAGGAAGAGTGAACTTTTTGTCACACGATCTAACATAATTACGGAGTGAATAGGAGTCACTGAGCTGGACACAACTGATGGTGATAAAAAGAACGAAATAAACTAAACCACCAAAAGTAACACAGGTTTCGTTACTTCCCACAGTAACAATCCCGAAAAACATGAACCTTGAAAATTGTATGATAGTATTAAAAAAGTCATAATTTGAGTTCAAAGGAATAAGAAAAGTGCGTATCAAAATACATTCACAGAAGTCGATCGAGTAATTTTATAGTACTAGAGTAAGATTGTACTAAAAGAGTAAGTTTACAATATCGGAGTAATGTTAGAGTATCATAAATCAACTCCAAGAGGCAGGCATGTCGCTTAGTTTTTACTTTTGTTTTTATAATCATTTTAAACCACGCGGAGATTTCCTGATAAGTGCGCGTGTACTATTTAATATACTTTTCTTCCCATGCGAAAATTGGCTAGTGTTTGGTTTAGCATATAGCTACACAATGGGCTATCCGGGATCTTACCACCACGGGTATCGAAACCCGAATTTTAGCGTCGTAGTCCTACCGCTGAGCCACTGGGAGGCGTTTGCTAGAGGGATTATCCGAAAGCTTTTCTTATCGACTGTCACGATAAACTGTTTTATAACAACTGAGCTGTTCATTCGACCAGAGGAAGACGGTAACGAAGCGCACAAAACGAAGCCTCTAATAACGACTAGATGATCGTTGTAATCACCTGGCTTCATTTTCTGGTCAGTGCATAACATAGGGCAGAATTTTTACCTATTTGGGAGCAATCAGGCTCCAATCAAGAGCACAACTAAATCTAATGAACTGATCCATCAAATACGACGCAGTATGTGAGTGTCCTACTCTGTCTTTCCGCGTGTCATGTTTTCCACGATATTCCTAGAGAGAAAAACAGATGATTAAACTGAGCCAAATTACATTCTCTGTTTGCAGCCCTCCAATGGTGCTATTTTTTGGGGGTAACTTTCTGTTTACTCGGGAGGGGGGGTAGGGGTCAACAAAATGTGTTTGTCACCGAGTTTGTTCACGTACTCTTTTATCGAATCAATCAGTGGAGGGTGCGGTTCTAATTCGTTCTTAGAAGTTGGATACCCGATGATTAAATTCGGCTCAGATTCTCTAGGCAGATTTAATTGAGTTCTTTTCTCCGGTGGTCCACACAGAACAGCAAGGAACAGTCTTACTTATTCCACTGTTTTGTAAAACTACCAATAGAGGGCTATCGGTAACGTTTGTAGTTGTTGTTGTTGTACAATATATACTAAAGCTAACTAGGAACTTCGCATGAAACCATAATATTTAAACAATGGTTGAGAATGAGTTCACAACTAGTAAAAATTTACTTAGTTTTCTTAGTTTTAAAGTACTTAGTTTTCTTAGTTTTAATAAACCTAGTTTTCTTAGTGTTAAAGTACTTAGTTTTCTTAATTTTAAAGTACTTAGTTTCTTAGTTTTAAAGTACTTAGTTTTCTTAGTTTTAAAGTACTTAGTTTTCTTAGTTTTAAAGTACTTAGTTTTTTTAGTTTTAAAGTACTTAGTTTTCTTATACACATTAATTATTATCATTCAAACTAATGGCTGATCCAAGGATTTATAAAGATCTTTGATTTCCACCTTTCCATGAAAGCCACGTGCGGATTCTCTGATCATGAATGTTCTTTTTTCCAGATTATCTAAATCACAGGTTATTTTCCTTGATTGTTTTACTTTCCACAGAGTCAAAGTCACGGGTCTTCTTTCAACGCTGTTTAAATAACAGATTTTACTTTCCTCAGTCTTAATCACGGGTCTTCTTTCAATGCTGTTTAAGTAACAGATTTGACTTTCCACAGAGTTTAAATCACGGGTCTTCTTTCAACGCTGTTTAAGTAACAGATTTGACTTTCCACAGAGTTTAAATCACGGGTCTTCTTTCAACGCTGTTTAAATAACAGATTTCACTTTCCACAGAGTTTAAATCACGGGTCTTCTTTCAACGCTGTTTAAATAACATATTTGACTTTCCACAGAGTCAAAGTCACGGGTCTTCTTTCAACGCTGTTTAAATAACATATTTGACTTTCCACAGAGTTTAAATCACGGGTCTTCTTTCAAAGCTGTTTAAATAACAGATTTTACTTTCCACAGTCTTAATCACGGGTCTTCTTTCAACGCTGTTTAAATAACAGATTTGACTTTCCACAGAGTTTAAATCACGGGTCTTTAACAACTGTTAATAACTTTGTGAACGAACTGGACACCTTAAGCTGTTTCTTTAACAACTGTTAATAATTTTGTGAACGAACTGGACACCTCAAGCTGTTTCTTTAACAACTGTTTCAGGTTTGGTGAACGAACTAGACACCTTAAGCTGTTTCTTTAACAACTGTTTCAGGTTTTGTGAACGAACTGGACACCTCAAGCTGTTTCTTTAACAACCGTTTCAGGTTTTGTGAACGAACTGGACACCTCAAGCTGTTTCTTTAACAACTGTTTCAGGTTTTGTGAACGAACTGGACACCTCAAGC